ACAGTCAGTGAGGTTTGTTAGAAAACGTTTTGTTTTTTAATCTAAAATGAACAGTGTATGAAGCATTTATTATTTGCTTTTTCCATCACACTATACTATAAAATTGTCATTTAGGTTTTCTTTATGATTTAAGAAAATGTTGTTTTGCTGTATCTCACAATCTGTTGCTGTATAATATTCTATACATGATTCTTACAACTGTAGTATTAAAATTTAATCACGTTAATAATTTTTATTTATATTTCTGTTAAAGGTCATGGAAACATGCATTTTTTAATCCAGAGACTTCTGGTACAATGACACATCTTTGATATCTGTTAACTAGTGGTGTAAACAATTTCGCTGGTCAGCTGACTAATCTAGGAAGCAAGCAAACTGATAATGTAGATATCCCAAGGAAAGCAGGTACTTATTAAACCTAGCAAAAATGTTATAATAAATTGTGATTTCATCAAAAGTCTGTTACAGAAATTTCTTTTATCATCATTTGATCTGATACAATGCTTTTTGGGGGGAGTAGGAGAAGGGATTGTTTCATTGTTATGGAAATCCTCAAAATACGATCTTTTTTATGTGATCAGTCCTGTGTTTTTTATTACACACATTCAGCTGCTTACCTCTGACTTTGTATTTATCTCTTCCCGGAATATCCAAGTAATTACTATTAATCTGAACATATGATGCGGGATTTTTTATTAATCTGAACATATGCTGTGGGATTTTTTTAATATGTAATAGAGAGGTTGAATTACTACTTTAAGTCTGAAATGAATTCAGACTTAATAAAATGGTTAATAAACCTGGGCAGATGTGAAACATTTATTATGTGCGTATGATTATTTACCACAAAATGTAGGAACCTTAAACGTTTAAGTTGATCACTTCTCAATAGAGATATTTCTAGCTAGTTCTGTTTATTTTTCTGTGTATTTGAGAGGTGTAACTTCATTGTATAAAATAATTCCAACAAAAATCTTGATTGTTTCATCAAGCGTACATGGAGAGTTTAATATATTTTTAATACTTATTTTCTTGTTTTTAAACAGTTTTAAATCTAGCTTGTGTAACAAGTCTTATTGTACACCAAGAGAAATCACAATAATTCTCTGTTGTGTTGCTGCTACAACGTACCACATTGGTTATTGGTATCACAGATAATGTCTTTCAGAAAAATTAAACCAAATACAAAACAGGTTAATAATGAAGTGCCTGTAGCTTTTAGGCACGGCTGTGGCATGTTTCATCTTAGTTTTTTCTGTTTGTGTAAGAAGATTCTCTCCTAACGTGATGAGAAAATCCTGTTAGATGTGGAAGTAATTTTTAGCCATAGAAGTTAAACTATATATTATTTACCACCTATTTTCTCTGCCAAAATTTGGTCCCTAGTTCTATGCTGTAACCTCTTTTAGTTGCATCTGGTCACATCAGAGGATTTCTTTGTTCATTTTGCTTGGGTTCATGGACTGCACCAAAGGAGTTTTCTCTCTGCTTGCAGTTCACATATGTCACATGCATGACTACTAACAACTGAGAATTATGGTTGCAGGGAAGTCTTCCTAAATGCCACCTCCAGCATGTTCTAATGCAAATGAAATATTAGGGAAGCAAATGCTAGAGTTGGAGCAGCTTAGAGTTCCTTCTTTCTTCTACCTGCATTAAATTTGAAGAAATTTTCGTAGAATAGAAAAAAAATACACTTGGTTCACTTTGAAAGAGATAAATCTTTGAAGCAGATTAGAATCATAGAAAAATCTAGCTTGGAAGGGACCTCGGGAGACCGTCCAGTTCAACTTCTGCTGAAAGCAAGGCCTTGGATTAGACTGTCCAGGGCCATGTCAAGCCAAGTCTTGAATATTCCCAGCGAGGGAGATTCTACCACTTCTCTGGGCAAACTATTCCAGTGTGTAATTGTACTCACGGTGAAAAATCTTATATCCAGAAGACATTTCCCTCAATCAACTTTTGCCTGTTGCCTCCTGTCCTGTCACCTTGCATCCTTCTGAAGAGAGTACCTCCATCTTTTCTGTAACTACTTTTTAAGTATTGGAAGACTGAGATTAGATCCCTCACCTGAGCCCTCTCTTCTCTGGCTGAGCAGACCAATTTCCTTCAGCCTGACTTCATATGTCAAGTTCTCTAGCCGTTTAATCATCTTGATGGCCCTTTGCTGGACTCCGTATGTTTTCCAATGTCTCTTGAACTTGGGGGACCAAAACTGGACGCAGTATTCCAGGTGGGACCTAACAAGCGCTGAGTAGAGGTTGCATGTCCCTCTTCCAAGCATGAGTTTAATAAATAAAGCTGTTCAGAGCAAAGGACCCTGTAAAATTCTAATACAAGAAAAGGTGCTGTTTCTCTTAGTCTCTTTGACTTGACTCCACTGTTTTTGACTGGAGTTATTAGATGTGCAGTATGGACATTTTCTGTGCAAATGGCTAAAATTTAAGAGGGCTGTGTGAAACAGAAATAGGGTGGTGTTAGACTTTAAAAGCAGATGACTCTAAAAGGTCTGTCTGTGGTACTGTACTATACAGCTGTTCAGATAGTCATGTGAAATTTTGCCTTTCAGAGAGATGTAGGCAACTGCAAAACATTACTTGTTCAAGGAAGATGCTTTTTGGAGGAATACCCATTTAGTAACTCTGTGAAGTACTGCTTTTCAGTTTAATAGAGATGGATGTAAACTGCCATATTGTTAAGAGAGTTTAATGTAGATCATTGCTAAATCAATGTGGCATTAGAAAGTTCACTGTGATACAGATCGAGTGTAGTCATTCTGTTTGCTGCTTCTTGTACTAATAAACCTACAGTCAACTCACAAGATTTTTCATTTCAGTACAGGTAAAGAAAAAAATTGTGAATACTTAAAGTCACTGAATTGCATTGCCTACTCATACGGGAAGAAACCTTAGTTTCTTTGTGGCTGTCAGTAGCTGAGATTCTTCAGCATATGCTGTTAATGTGATGAAAACATTGGTCTGTATATATACTTTTGTTACAATTTTAATAATCTTTAAGTTTTGTACAAAATCTCCGGAACTAATATTACATGCTAAAATGTTAGTTTGCATGAGTTGCTCTAAAACCCCATAATTTTATTTTGTCTTATTTTTCCAAATCCTTTTGTTAGATAAATCTTACTTTATTTTATGGGATATATATTTCAGTTTTGGCAAAAAATATTTACATGCTCTATCAGGAACTTGAATCTGTGTCATATCCCAACTGAGTACCCGAACAATTAAATTACAGATTCAGTATCTCTGGCTTCATTAGTTTGTAACCGTCTGCCTACAGGCAAGCAGCTTTACTGACAGAGAACATAAAAGAAATACATTGTCGAATACCTTGTTGACCAGTAGTTAGCGATTCACCTGGAACGTAGGAGAATGATTTTCAAGTCTTTGAATATTATTTCTCTGATTTAGAGAACGCTAGCTTACATCTCATTTTTGCAGTGAGCTCTGCACAGAGGAGATAAAGTATCAGTGGAAATACCTGTGCCAGAGAAACTTTCTTGCGCTCCAAATCATACTCTCCCCTTCCTGGTATGCCGTTAGCATGTTTCTTAATAAATACCCACTCCTAGTACTTAGTTCAGGTCCTGTGTATGCAAAATTGCTCAGTTTAGCTTCTCACCCAATTGCTCTGTTCTATGAGAAGGCAACATTAACTTAAATAGCTGCTGATATTAGTCAATGGATTAATGCTCATCTGTTCTTCTCCACTCTTTAATAAATGCTGGGCACATTTGGATAGTTTGGCAAATGTAGCTAAAGTCGTCCCTGAAAAGTGACTGGAGTAATGACAGTCTGTGATGAATCTGTGTCCAAATATCTTATTGCTTTCACTTTTTTTTTTTTTTAAAATGAAGTTACCCTCTTTTAGAGAAAGTTCGTGTTCTGTAGAAATCAGGAAAGACTGTAATCATGAGGGCAAAATGATTTTTTTAAGCCATGAATTGTCTTCCTTGTGCAAGTGCCATAACAATTAGGTATTTTCTGGGTTTGCTTAGACATGAAAGTATCAAAAGTTAGGTATAGGCTTGAGTTCACTCTTGGGGCGCCAACTACCAGTCATTCGTGGTGTTAATCTCCAAATTTGAGCTATGGTGACGTTTTTACTAAAGGCAAAGACCCTACTGAATTTTGGGACCTGAAATTAAAGCGTTTGTTACCTTCTTTCTTGCCTTTCTGCTCCCAGGATATAATTGGAATGTGCTGCTGCTGCTATGGGCATGGGATTTTCAGGAAAGCCATCAGGAGAATTCCACATTTCTTCCTTGGACTTTTTATTTTTTTTCCAAATTTCTTTACTCTGCTGGCTGTGTTATTTAGCCCTTTCTGTAACCCGCTTCTACCCCATGCTTGCATTTACCTGGCAGAATTAGCAATTACTACAGCGATACAGATGAGCGTACCACTTTTGGCACATTGACATTTTAAAAGTGATCATCCTCTCAATCACAGCTAGAAAAACACACCCATAATGTAATTTAGTCGAGTATAAACATGAATTATATGTCAAATGGATTAAATGATGACAGAGGATTAAGCATGTGAAAACAAAGTACTACGCAGTGGTAGGGTAGTAGAGTTAACAAAAAACAGCCAAAGTGGTAGGGTAGTAGAGTTAACAAAGAACAGCCAAGAAGGGCAGAGCACTTACTGTAAGGAGTCTTGAGTAGTGCCTCTTGTTACTCTTAGTGTTTAGCATTTGTTTCTCGTGATTCAGCTCTTCAACTTGCTCTAATCATAACAGTGAAAAAGAGAAAAGGAAACTCTCTTTGAGTAGCTTGACCCTGTTGCTACTGGAAAAAATATGGGCCTGCTTTTCCTGCTCCTGCGATAGCTTCCTTATGTCAAAGAGAGTTTTTAGCAGCTACATCCCATGGCCTCACAGCAGAGAGGGGCTCAACCTGGTAAGTCCCACAT